CAACACCAAACCTCCTGATTTTCCTGTCCAGATGTGCTGATTTTGGGACTGGTGCTTTTTGTTTTGGTGGGCACTGAAGGAGGAGGTGCTGGAGGTGTGGATGGAGCACTGAGGGGCTTTGCTGCATCAGATGATGCAGTAATTCTGCGTTTAAAGGGATTTTTGTTGTTGCTCTGCATTTTTTTTTAATTGGAAGGGAAATACAGTAACGCTGGTGCATTTTAATGCACTCTGGTGCACGTGGTGCATTTAATGAGGCTGAAATGAAGCAATCTCTAATTGAAAGCCATTTTCTCATGCTTCCAAGTTGAAAACGTGATGTGATGCCTCTAAGCAGCTCCTGGAGAGGCAGGATTGGAATTTGCATGGGATCCCTTGGGTCTCTCACCCACCCCAGCTCCTGTGGGTACCATCAGCTCAACACAGCTGTTCACGGGGCAGAGATGTGGGGCTGGCATGGGATAAGAGAAATAAGTCAGGAAGGAGTAGATTTTTCTCAAATAATGGTGTACTTATGCTTAAAAAATATTCAAAGCCACCTTTGGTGATTTAGGGGCATCAAAGTGGTCACTTGTGCTGAGGGAGCCACGCAGAGCACCTCCACACCTCGTTTTGTTTTCTGCCATGTCCATTTTTTACGCTGATTCCAACAATGAGAAACATATATTTGAGTCAATACCGATCTTTAATTAACACTGAGCACAGGCCTTGATTTGGAAGCACAAATAATAAACACACAACTCATGCACATCCCTCAACAGAGGAGAGAGCAGAGCCCTTCCCCTGCCTGCTGTGCTGAAGTCCAGTAGAGGAAGAGCTGTTCCAAGGGAACAAGGTTTATCCTGCACTGTCCCTGCGCAGGAAACTCCCACCAATGTTTTGGGTTTCCTCAGCCAGGATTTCCCTGCTCTGGCACTGCAACAGGAGCCTCTGGAATGGGTGCACCTGGCAGCAATGCCCGTGCTGGATTTGGGGTGCCAGGGGACTCTTGGGGATGCTGTGCCTCAGTTTCCCCACCTGTCCAGTGGCCTTTGCAGAGGGGAAGGATGGCAGGATGAGTTGCTTTCCCCATGGTGCTGATACCAATATCTTCCCATCCTGGATTGCACTGAAAGGGCAGCCTGAAATTGTCTTGGAAACCTCATTTTTGTACCAAAAGGAGGCAGGGCAGGGCTTGCTTTGACCAGGTCCTTGATGGAGCAAAAAACATGAGGGTGTCGCCAGACTCTGGGTGTCATTTTCCATGCTGGTTGTTCCTGCAGTTCTTTCAGTTTTCAGCAGCATTTTTGGTGAATTTTGTGCCATTTCCATGAGGTCCTGTGGGCTGTGGTGTGAGTAGATCTAGGCAGCAGTGTGGATTCCCAGGCTGATCTCCTTAAGGATCAAACTGATTTTGGCGCCAGTTTCTGCCCCTCATCATGCTCTCCTTGCAGGTGTCATGTCTCTGTGGCTCTGCCCCGTGCCTGCTCTGTGGCTGCTGCCCCTCGGCCAAGAACTCCACCATCTCCCGCCTCCTCTTCACCTTCTTCCTCTTCCTCGGCACCCTCGTGTCCATCATCATGATAATCCCGGGCGTGGAGAAGGAGTTGCACAAGGTAAAGAACTCCTGGAGGTCAGGAACTCCTGGGAAGAAACGACACAGCTTGTGGTGGGGACTTGAGGCTGAACCAAAAAAGTGAATTTTTGGGTCATGATGTGCTTTTGTTCCTCTTGTTTTTGAGCATCTCAGTGGGAGTAGGCATTATCAGCCCTGGTTTTGCATCAAGGGGAAAACGCAGTGGGATCATTTAATGCAATTTTTAGTTTTCCCAGATGTCTCCAAGGAAAGTTTCCTGCATGCCATTTTTTGGGGTTCAGTTGATGACTTGCACACCAAGGAGGAGGGACTAAAGGTGGAGGGAGCATAGCTCTTCCAGCTGAGCTGGGCTGTAGGGAAGAGCTGGTTTCATGCCAGCTTTCCACTGACCAGCTGGGTGGCTTTATCTGTGGCATTGGAGCAGTCATGGTCTGGTCCATCCCTGGTGGCACCAGGGCTCGTGGTGGGTGTGGAATCACAGAATGGTTTAGGTTGAAAGGAACTCAAAGCCCTTCCACCCCCTTCCATGGGCAAGGGACACCTCCCACTGTCCCAGGCTGCTCCAAGCCCTGTCCTATTGTAGATATTTTTGTCTCTGATGAAGGGAGAAATAATGAGGAGGACTCCATCTTATTAAAAGGCTAATTAATTACTTTATTATACTATATTATTCTATACTATATTACATCTATATTACACTATATCTAAATTGAATCTGTCAAGCACTCCACTCAGCTCCCCTGCCCAGCATCTCGTGACCATCAGCAACAATCCCAACACACAGCACACAGCAGAATCCAATTATCAATTCCCTTCAGGTAAACAATCTTCCACAATGCATTCCACTTGTGAATAGGAGGAGCAGTCAATGAGATAGGAATTGTTTTTCCTTTCTCTGAGGTTCAGATAATGTGAAACCCAGAAATATTCTTGGGAAGAATTGTGCCTTGCTTTTCTCTGTGAAGAGGAATGTGGCTACACTGTCCAACCAGGCCTGGGACACTTCCAGAGGTCCAGGGGCAGCCACAGCTGAGGCTGCTTCACCAGTCCAAGCAGTAGATCTCCATCCAGACCTTCCCACAACCATCACTCCCCGTAGGATGTGCTGAGGTGATGCTGACGCTCCCATCCCTGTTTCAGCTCCCTGGTTTCTGTGAAGGCAGTGGCTCAGTGCTGGGGGTGCAGACCAAGGTGGACTGCAGCAGCTTCCTGGGCCACAAGGCTGTGTATCGCATGGGCTTCGCCATGGCTGCCTTCTTCTGCCTCTTCGCCGTGCTCATGGTGTGCGTGAGGAGCAGCAAGGACCCGCGGGCCGCCCTGCAGAACGGGTGAGCGTGGGAGGACACCAAAGGGTAACTCTTGGGTCTGAGTATTGTCTTGGTTTG